TTTGTTTTTTAGATTCCACAAAGAAGTGAAATCATATGGTATTTGCCTTTTTCTGACTTTACTTAGCACAATACCCTCTGGGTCTATCTATATTGTCACAAATGGCAGAATCTTTCTACAACTGAGTAATAATCCTGTGTGTAAGTGTGTAAATCACATCTTCATTATCCATTCATCTATTGATGGACACTTGAGTTGCTCCTGTACCTTGGCTATTGTAAATAATGTTGCAGTAAACATGGAGGGTGGATATATCTTTTTGAATTAGTATTTTCATTTTCTTTGAATAAATACCCAGCTTTGGGATGGCTGAATCGCATGGTATTTCTTTTTACTTTTTGAGGAAGTTTCATATTATTTTCCATAGGGCCTATACCAATTTACATTCCCACTCAACAGTGCACAAGTGTTCCCTTTGCTCCACATCCTCACCAACACTTGTTTCTTGTGTTTTTTATTTTAGCCATTCTGACAGGTATGAGGTGATACCTCATTGTGGTTTTGATTTGCATTTCCCTAATGAGGATTGATGTTGAACATCTTTTCATTTGTCTCTTGGTTATCTGTAGGTCATTTTTGGCTATTGTGGACATTGCTGCTATAAATATTGGGATGCAGGTGCCCCTTCGGATCACGATACTTTTATTTTTGGGGTAAATACCTAGTAATGCAATGGCTGGGTCATAGGGTAGCTGTCTTCAACTTTTTGAGGAACCTCCACATTGTTTTCCAGAGTGGCTGCACCAGCTTGCATTCCCACCAACAGTGTAAGAGGGTTCCACTTTCTCCACATCCTTGCCAACCTCTGTTGTTTCCTGACTTGTTAATTTTAGCCATTCTGACTGGTGTGAGGTGGTATCTCATTGTGGTATTTTCCCTGAAACCAAGTGATGTTGAACATTTTTCCATGTGTCTGTGGGCCATTTGTCGTCTTTGGAGAAATATCTGTTCATGTCTTCAGCCCATTTCTCAATTGGATTATTTGGGTGTTGAGTTTGATAAGTTTTGTATAGATTTTGGGTACTAGTTCTTTATCTAATAAGAGACATTTGCAAATATCTTCTCACATTCTGTCGGTTGTCTTTTGGTTTTGTTGACTGTTTACTTTGCAAAAGCTTTTTATCTTGATGAATTCCCAATAGTTCATTTTTGCCTTTGTTTCTCTTGCCTTTAGAGACGTGTCTAGCAAGAAGTTGCTGCCTTTGTTCTCTAGGATTTTGATGGATTCCTGTCTCACATTCATCCATTTCCAGCTATGTTCTTTGTCATGATTGCTTTGGCTATTTGGAGTCTTGTGGTTTTATATAAATTTTAGGATTGTTTCTTCTAGTTCTGTGAAAAATATTATTGGCATTTTGATAGGTCTTGCATTAAGTCTGTGGATTTCTTTGGGTAGTATGGAAATTTTAACAGTATTATCCCAGTCCATGAACATGGTTTTATCTTCCCATTTATCTGGGTTGTCTTCAGTTTCTTTCATTAGTGTCTTAGAGTTTTCAAAGTGTAGATCCTTTACTTTCTTGGTTAAATTTATTCCTCAGTATTCTTTTTGATGATATAAATAAGATTTTTAAAAATCTTTTTGCTGCATTGTTATTAGTGTACAGAAACACAACAGATTTCTGTATATTAATTATGTATCCTGCATCTTTACTCAGTTTATTAGTCTTAATAGTTCTTGGTGGAATCTTAGGGTTTTCTATTTGTAGTATTATGTTATGTGCAAGTAGCAATGGTTTTCCTTCTCTTTTAACTTGGAATACGTTTATTTCATTTCTTGCCTGATTGCTGAGCTAGGCCTTCCAGTACTATGTCAAATAAAAGTGGTGAGAATGGATATCCTTGTCTTGTTCTGCTCTTAGAGGAAAGGCTTCCAGCTTTTCACCATTGAGTAGGATTCAGTTGGGGGTTTGTCATATACGGCCTTTATTATGTTGAGGTATGTTTCCTCTACACCCTCTTTTGGAGAGGTTTTTATCATGAATGGATATTGAGATATGTAAAATATTTTTTCTGCATTTGTTGAGATGATTGTCTGATTTTTATAATTTACTTTGGCAATTACCTTGTTTTTGGTAATTACTTTGATTTATAAATATTGAACTACCCTTCCATATCTGGAACAAATCCCATTTGATCATAGTAGATGATCATTTTAATGTGTTGTTGAATTTCATTTGCTTATATTTAGTGATTTTTGTATATATTTTTATCGGGAAATGGATCTATAATTTTGGTGTCAGGTTAATGTTGGTCGTGTGGAATGAATTTGGAAACATTACTTCTAGTTTTTTGAAATACTTTAGGAAGAACAAATGTTAACTTTTTCTTTTTTTTATGTTAACTTTTTCTTAAGTATTTGGTAGAATTCACTAGTGAAGTCAACTGGTCTTGTATTTTTGTTTGTTGGGAGTTTTTTGGTTACTGATTTACTGGTTAGTATTAATCAGTCTACTTAGATTTTCTATGTCTTTGTGATTCAGTCTTGGAAGATTGTATGTTTCTTGAAATCATTCCTTCCAGGTTGTCTAATTTGTTGGCTTATAATTTTTCTTAATATTCTCTTATAATCCTTTATATTTCTGTGGTGTGCATTGTATTCTTTCATTTCTGGTTTTATTTATTTGATTCTCTATCTTGATAAACTGAAAAAACTTTAGAAAGGCTTATCTTTTCAGAGAACCAACTCTTAGTTTCATTGATTTTTTTTTTTTTAATTCAAATTCAGTTTGCCAACATACAATCTTTTGTTTTTTAAATCTCTATTTCATTCTGGTTCTTTTTAATTTTTGCTAGTATTATATATCAAAAATAGATGCCTGTTTTTAAATGGCATTTCTTTGTTGTCTTTTTTTTTTTCTTTTGGAATACTCATAATTTAAGCATTGATTTTGTAAACTTTCTTTGTCAAGAGATATTTTGATTCTTACACAGTTTTATTTATTTGGCTCAAACTATAGAAATTTATTTTCTCTTTTCTAGAAAAGTCTGAGATTAAAGTTTCAGCAGGGTTGGTTTCTCTTTATGCTTCTCTCCTTGCCTTATAAATGGCCTTTTTCGGGATCCCTGGGTGGCGCAGCGGTTTGGCGCCTGCCTTTGGCCCAGGGCACGATCCTGGGGACCCGGGATCGAATCCCACATCGGGCTCCCAGTGCATGGAGCCTGCTTCTCCCTCTGCCTGTGTCTCTGCCTCTCTCTCTCTCTGTGTGTGACTATCATGAATAAATTAAAAAAATAAAAAAAAATAAATGGCCTTTTTCCCGTGTCTTCAGATGGCTTTCCCTCACTGTCATTAGGCATTTTAGGTTTTATTTATTTATTTTTAAAGATTTTATTTATTCATGAGCGAGAAAGGCAGAGACATAGGCAGAGGAGGAAGCAGGCTCTCTGCAGGGAGCCTGATGCGGAACTTGATTCTGGGACCCTGGAATCACAACCTGAGCTGAAGGCAGACTGTCAACCACTGAGCCAACCAGATACCCCGCATTATGTTTTAATGTTTGTATTTGTTTCTTAGGGCTGCTGGAACAAATTACCAAAATTTGGTAGCTTACAACAATTGGAATTTATTCTCCAAGTTCTAGAGGTCAAAGTTGGAAATCAAAGTATTAGAAGAGCTAAATTCCCTCCAAAGGCTCCTTTCTTGCCTCTTTCAGCATCTGGTGGCTCCTGGTTTTCCTTAGCTTGTGGCGGTTTCACTTGACTATTTGCCTCCGTCTTCACGTGGCCTTTTTCTCAGGGTCCCTGTGTCCTACTTAATCTTTTTTCTCTCATAAGGACATTGCTAATTGAGTTAAAGGCCCATTCTAAATCCAGGATGATTTTTATTTCATGATCTTTAACTTCAGCTTCTTATCTGAATGAAATCCCAATAGTTCATTTTTGCTGTTTCCCTTGCCACCAATGATGTGACTAGTGAGAAGTTGTTATGGCTGGAGTCAGAGATGTTGCTGCCTGTGTTCTCTAGGATTTTGATGGATTCCTGTTTCACATTTAGGTCTTTCATCCTTCTTGAACTTATTTTTGGGAATGGTGTAAGAGAGTGGCCCAGTTTCATGCTTCTGCATGTTGCTGCCCAGTTTTCTCAACATCATCTGTTGAAGAGACTGTCTTTTTTCCATTGGATATTCTTTCCTGCTTTGTCAAAGATGAGTTGACCAGATAGTTGTGGGTCCATTTCTGGGTTTTCTGTTATGTCCCATTGATCTAGGTGTCTGTTTTTGTGCCAGTACTATACTTGATGCCTACAACTTTGTAATAGAGCTTGAAGTCTGCTATTGTGATGCTTCCAGCTTTGCTTTTCTTTTTCAGGATTATTTTGGCTATTTGGGGTCTTTTGTGGTTCCATATAAATTTTCGGGTTGTTTTTTCTAGTTCTTTGAGAAATCCTGGGGATATTTTGATAGGGATTGCATTGAGTAGTAGACATTTTAACAATGTTTGTTCTTCCAGCCCATGAGCATGGAATGCCATTCTGTTTCCTTGTGTCCTCTTCAATTTCTTTCATAAGTGCTCTGTAGTTATCAGAGTACAAATCTTTTACCTCTTTGGTTATGTTTATTCCTAGGTATCTTATGATTTTTGGTGTAATTTTAAATAGGATTAATTCTAAGAGGTATCCATATATGTTTTCAAGGGCTGTTAATTATATTAATTTTATGAGTTTGGTTATATTAATGGGCTTGCTATCTTTGCAGAGAGTTTAAGTGGTAATTAGAAAAGTTAAACTGCATTTCTTATATATCCTGTAATATAATGAACATGTCGGACCCACTTTTGATATCTGAATCTATTGATAAATGGTTTGCAATGACCACATTGTAAATTTTGGTTTTGGTATATTGGTTAAAATTGGTTCATATATAGTTTAAAAGAATACAGTGAGTACTGTATAGTCTGGTTCATATAATCATTTATGTCTACTACATAATTTTTTCCCATAGAGTTTGGAATAAGTTAAAAAACAAAACTTATGGCTCCTCTGTTATGCATTTTTAAAGGAAATCTCAAGAGAAGAAGTTCCTGTGAAGACTATCCAAGCTGCTAATGCAAAACTTAACCCTGTTTATTTTCATGACACAAATGCCAATAAAGGTGAATTTGACTTAGTGGACCTTTTGAAGCTGGATGCCGTCTCTCTTCATGAAGATAAGCATTTGGCATCTAATTCAGAAATAATTTTGCCTATGGATAAACGTTTGGACACTGAAACTCCTAAAGTGTCTATTCAAAAATATGTGGACAAAGCATCTTTGAAGCCTGTTAGTGACAATGGAATTATTTCCCCTAATAGTCTACGATCACCAACTATTGAAAGGCGAATATATGAATGTTACAAGTCCATTGAAAAGAGTAAAGAACGTAAGTAGATTTTTTAAAAAATGAAAGTAAAATGTATAAAATGCTTATACATTTTGAATAGGATATATTTTTAAGTGGAACTTGCCTAATCTTTTGAGTCAAAATATTAAATATTTTGTGGATTAGAAATTGTATCTTTATTCACAGATCTAGTGAAAATGTACTACTCTTAGTTTTCTTTTTCTTATTCCTCTGGTTCTCCATTATGGATTTTTACTGGATTAAGACTGGCTTCCCGGGATCCCTGGGTGGCACAGCAGTTTGGCGCCTGCCTTTGGCCCAGGGCGGGATCCTGGAGACTCGGGATCGAATCCCACATTGGGCTCCCGGTGCATGGAGCCTGCTTCTCCCTCTGCCTGTGTCTCTGCCTCTCTCTCTCTCTCTCTGTGACTATCATAAATAAATAAAAATTAAAAAAAAAAAAAAACTGGCTTCCCCATCAGGAGAGAACTCTTCTTTTGTGGAAATGGGTTTCTTTTTTCCTTTAGTTTTGGGCAGATTTTAGTATTGTTGATATATAAGTCAACTAAGTAAAATTATTTAAGAATATTATATCATTTTGTTTCATATGTCATTGGATATTCTTGGAATTTTTTAGAAACAGATCTATCACCGAGTGTGGTCTATCAAAATGAAGAAGGCAGATGGGTCACTGACCTTGCGTATTACACATCTTTTAATAAAGAGCAAGTTTTAAATATGTCTCTAGCTGACGAGATGAATGAAGACTTCAGATCTGGTTGTAAGTTTATTGATAACCACTCTGTTGTAACATTTTCATTGTTTTTGATGGTGTGAGATTACTCTGTATATATTGGTTAGCCACATCAAATCACTTGTAGAGTATGCATTTGAACCTTGAACAATGGTAATTAGAAAAGGGGGATTAAAAAAAAGGGGATTAAGGGACACCGACTCCTTGTGTATTTTAAAATTTGCATGTAACTTTTGACTTCCCAAAATCTTAACTACTGACAGCCTGCTGTTCATGTTATTGCTTAAGGCTTCTGGTAAACAGTAAATTATCACCTATTTTGTATGTTACATGTATTATATACTGTATTCTTACAGTAGGGTAAGCTAGAGAGAAGAAGTTAAGAAAATCCTATGGGAGAGGGGATCCCTGGGTGGCTCAGCGGTTTGGCGCCTGCCTTTGGCCAGGGCACGATCCTGGAGACCCGGGATCGAGTCCCACGTCGGGCTCCCTGCATGGAGCCTGCTTCTCCCTCTGCCTGTGTTTCTGCCTCTCTCTCTCTCTCTCTTCTCTCTCTCTCTCTCTCTCTCTCTCTGTGTGTGTGTGTGTGTGTGTGTCTCTCATGGATAAATAAAAATCTTAAAAAAAAATCAAAATGTATCTAATAAAAAAATCCTATGGGAGAGAAAATACATTTATAGCACCATACTATATTTATAAAAAAATAAATCTGTGTTTAAGTAACCCTGTGCAGTTCAAACCTGTGTTGTTCAAGGGTCAGCTGAAATACTGAGCTTATCAGTATGAAGAAAGGCTTGAATTGATCCGTGGTAATCATTGGCAGAGTGCACTGAGCCTTTTCCTTAAGCAAGGACAGTGAGTCAGGCTCTCATTCTTTTACATTAGTTTAGAACATTCATATTGCAGAGTTGGAAGGGGACCTTAGGCTTTATGTTTTCACTTTTAAAATTCTGTCTTGAATGAAAAAAAAATATTCTGGTGAATGAACAATTCAGAATCCAATCCATTTTGGATAAAACCTAAGAAATATGGAGATGATGGGAGAAAAGTGACAGAAGAGATAAATCTCAAAGTGAGAGAGCATTAGGAGTATCAGCTAGGTTTGTTGATTAGCAGAATCTGTGAAGTAAAAAACTGGTTCAAGACTGCAGAACACATGGCCTTTGAACCTTAGTCTGTGGAGATGCTGTGCCACGGAGGTCCCCAGTGCCTGAGCATCTCTGAACCTGCAATAAGGATTCAGTGGCCTGGTAAGCCTAGTCTTATTTTTAACAGGCTCATAACATGCCACAGGGAGAAATGATTCTAATGACTGCACTAAGTTCCCCTTAAACATCTAACAATCTGGAAGGTAGAGATAAATAAGGTATTTTTCCAGCCTCTAAGAAATTGTCCATCACCTGAGAGGGATAAGACAAGAGTATAAAACAACAATCAGCATCCTAAGAGACACAAACTAAATGATTTTGGAATTTAGAGGAAAAATAACTTTTGCATGAGTGGGTAACAGGGATTTCACATACAAAGTGGCTTTTGAAGTGAGAGTTTCAACTGGTAAAAGTTTGGGGACTTGAGAAATTGCAAATGGAGGGCATCCCGGGTGGCTCAGTGGTTTAGCACTTGCCTTTGGCCCAAGATGTGATCCTGGAGTCCCGGGATCGAGTCCCACATCGGGCTCCCTGCATGGAGCTTGCTTCTCCCTCTGCCTGTGTCTCTGCCTCTCTCTCTCTCTCTCTCTCTCTGTCAAGAAAAAATAAATATTTTTTAAAAAATTACAAATGGATAGAAAACTCAATGAAAGAGAATTAACTGAGGATGCCTGGATATGTTTTGAGGATGGTAAATAGTCCACTGTAGCTAGCACTTATGACAAGATATGGAAAGAAGAGAATAATAAAAGGTGAAAAGGTGAAGTGTAGAGGTAAAGTAGGGCCAGAGAGTGGGTTTGGATTTGACTACCATGTCAGGGTTGAGGCTTGTGTGGTAAGCAATAGGGAGCCACAAACTTCCTTTGTGAGTTGTCTTTTTGCATGATTGTCAGTTGATTGGGAGATTCCTTAGGATGCTATGGAAATATAGGTGTCACATTGAGAATGAAAAGCAAATAGATAATGAAAGAAATGGAAATAAAACTATTAGAATTTGGTGACTGGATTTCAGTAGGTAGTAGAGAGGCAAGAAAAGATTTGTGGTCTGATTTACTTGGGAAAATGGCAATACCGTGAACTGAGATGGGACAATCAGAAGAAATTGTATAATTTTGAGCGATTGCGGTTTGAGGTGGAGATATACAGTAGTTGGAAGTGTGAGTCAGAAAGTGGAAGTTAAGTTACAGTTAGAGCTTGCTCAACAATATGTTGATTTAGAAAGAACAAGGGGTACAGACTGGACAGTGGATATTGACTGTGTCACTTAAAAAGTCAAAGGTCATGGAATTCTCGTGTAACTAGTGGGAGTGTAAAGTGGTAGAACCATTTCGGAAACTTCTCTAGCAGGAGCTTTTGGGGGTGAACTTTATGAACTTCATACTTTCAGACCCAGCAGTTCTGCCCCAGAATATGTACCCAGTGTATAGATATACTCTTCACCAAAAGACTAAAATATTTATAGCAGCACTATATGATTAACTCCAAATTAGAAACTCCCAAATTCTCATTAATGATAGAATGGATTGTGTTTATTCATACATTGGAATGCTATGTAGCAAAGGGAATGAATGATGTGTAGCGACTCGTAGCAGCAGGGATGAATTTCACAAGTATGTTGAAAGAAATAAGGCAGACTAAGAATACTTGATATATAAATCTATTTGTGTGTTTCAAATGTACCGTGCTCTATGGAGTAACAAGTAAGATAGTGGTTATCCTCTGGGCATGTAGTGATGGGAAGAAAACTTGATTGGCCTTTGGTGATACTAGCAGAGTTTTCTTTCTTCATTTAAGGTGTTGATCTAGCCACACAAATGTGCTCATTGAGTGGTACACTTAAATATACTTTTTATATGTATATTATGCTTTGGTAAACAATTTTTAAAAATTAGCAATCAAACTGAGAAATATTTGCAATATATGTTATGGGTTAAGGGCTTATTTTCCTAATGTGTAAGCAATTCTAATAAACAATAAGAAAAAGACCAGCTCAGTGTAGAATTGGGCAAAAGATATAAACAGTTTAGAGAAAAGGAAATGAAAATGGTTGTTAAATGTTTAAAAAAAAGTTCATGGAACTTATTCATGGAAAGAAACCACTCCATAATAGTATTTTTCAGTTATTTCACTGGCAGTGATCCTAAAGTCTGGTAATGAAGGAAACAAACAAGTATTGTAGTACTTTATGGCAGAGTGTCTAGGTAGAGCAGTAGTATAGCATCTAGCAAAATTACAGATGTACATACCCTGTAACCAAGGGGTTATGCTGGGAATTTATTTTTCAGATATGCTTGCAAAAATGGTGTGTGATATACGTGTGAGGCTAGTTCTTGTACATTGTTTATTAATAACATAAGTCAAAAGCAATTTGGATGTACAAAATAGAGGACTAATTAAATAAAGTACAAGAAATATACTGTGGCCATTAGAAAAAGGGAAAGAGGCTCTTTAGGTACTAATATGGAATAATGATTAAAATTATTTAAGTTCTAAGACATAGAAAAACATAAATTATTCTGAGATTTGTGTAAAAAGGTGAAAGCAGGGAGGACACACTTATATTTATAAATACATACGGTGGAAAGATATTTTAAGAAAGAAATGGATTGCAGGAATTCCTAGCTACTGATCTCAAAAATCAAATAGATTCAATTAGAGATTTCAGGGGTCCTTTATATATTAGCTTGCTTTTGGAGATGTGGGACATAGGGTCAGGGGTGAGAGGGAGCCTTTGCAGTATCATATTCTCTTTTATGTCTTTGGTTAACTTCTAAAAACTCCTTGTTGAAGCATAATATACATATATGTACCTTTGCATTTTGAAGTAGGTTGGTGTGTTAGTATTAAAGGAAAAATAAAATAGATAAAAGGAGAAGTTTAATGAAACCATCCTTGTGGTTAGGGAATGAACAATGGCTAGGTTGGACAGGATGAGTGGTGAAGAAATAGAGAAAGTGATTATGGAATACTGTGAGGGGAAAATAGTGTAATAGAAGGAAAGAAAGAATGAACTAGGTCAAGGGAAATCAGGGCCAGGGGAACATGCATGCAGGGGAAGCATTTTTTATAGGAAAGGGAAGGAAATTCTTAAAATGTAAGAGGAGATAATTCCTCAGAAGAGGAAGGTAGACCAAGGCATAATTTCATAATGTCAGAGTCGTTCAAAATGAAAATTTATCTACTTAACCAACTTTATTAAAAAAATAAGAGATATGATGCCCTCTTCCCCATTTCTGCCTTGCCTCTCTCTCTCTGACAGGACCATGCATCTGAGTCACTACCTCACTTGGGCTTATGGCCTAGGATTTAAACATGATTAGGAGGTTGGGATATATGATCTGCTTCAAAATTTAACAAATAAAACATCAGGGACATTTGAGAGGACTGTTTTAGATTCTTATAGGACATAGATTCATATAAAAAATGAAGTTCTTTTTTCTCATAATTGCTGATTTTTGATAATCATACAAGGTAGCAATATTACTATAGATTTTTCTTTAAGATTCTTCAATTAAAGTTTAGAGAAAAAGCACTTAGAATATTAAAAATAGCAGTTGGAACTGTTTACTTAATGATGTGAAAAAATTTGATATTTAACTAATTGAAGTAAACTTAAGTTTTTCTGGGTTAGTTTCTTTAGTGATCTGATTTCCCACTTCCCCTCCCTTGGCTGTTAGATTTGCTTGGTTGATGCTTTCACATTTTAGGGAAATGGTTTTTACCATACTTTGCATCATGGGCCCCATAGAGAATCTTTACGGAAAAATTTTTATGTGAAAGATTGTATTTTTCATGTGATTTTTGAGAGTTTCATGATTCTCGATGCCTATTCGTAGACTGCTAGGTTAAGAATGTGTTTATATAAGAAATGATGGGTTTACAAGGTAAAGAACCAACACTACCCTAACATGTAAGGATCTGAGCTATCTCTCGTGTTCTGTTTTTCTGATTGGAAATATTCTCCCATTTCTATTCTAATGTTGTCTCTCAAGATATAATATTGAGCTGTCAGACTTTCCAAAAGGGCAGTTTCTATCTGATTACCCCTGGTGGATTAATAAGAATGGGGGACATCTCTCCTGTTTGGGCTCCAGTAGACTCTCTCCGGGTTGCATGAAACTTCCATTGCAGTCAGTCTCCTGGAGTACCAGGCAGAGGTCTGGAGTGGACAGCAAGCAGGCAGAGAACCTGGGACTTTTTGATTAGGCAACATGTTTAAAATCCTTTTTGATTGTAATGCCTTGAGCAGGATCATGTGCTTTCTAGTTTATCACTGCCCCACTATTCCCTATTGTCACACCTTGTCCTCTGACCTCTGAGGCATTGTAGTTTGTAGCTTTGGTTTATTTTTTTTTATTTTTAAAGATTTTATTTATTCATTAGAGAGAGAGGCGGAGACACAGGCAGAGGGAGAAGTAGGCTCCGTGCAGGAGCCTGATGTGGGACTCGATCCCGGGACTCCAGGATCACATCCTGGGCCAAAGGCAGGCACTAAACTGCTGAGCCACCCAGGAATCCCCTGTAGCTTTGGTTTAAAGATTAAAGGTGTCTAGGCCCATTCATTTCCCTAAGGTGAACTGAGTTGCTCAATAGGAACTTTGAAGGCAGCTGGTGTGTGACCACTTGTTTTAGTTTGCGTAGGCTATGAGGCTTGCTGGGATGTGGAACTTTCTAAAACTGAGACAGTGCTGGGCAAACAGGTGGTTGGGTACCCCAGCAGACCTCTTCACAATTAGTTTACAGAGTGATTTATTGTTGTGATGGTTTCAGATAAAATTTCACATGTATTCATGGGGAGTACCTTAAATCAGGTGTGCCAAAACCTTCAAAAGCTAAAATTTTTGTGAATCTTTCACAAATGAAAAGCTTACATTTTAAGGCCTTTTAGTAAGTCAGGACAGGTTAGTAACTGATAAAATCAGTAACAGTAGAGTGTTCATTACCAGAAGTTTGAGAACTATAGACTTACATACTTAATACAGATGTGTTGGTTGTGCAATGAGAGCTTTCATACACTTTTTTCAGTGTTTTCTTTATTTCATTTTCCTAACTAGTTAAGTTTTATATATATCTGCTAGTTTTTAATTAGGCATTAGTATAATTTAATTATATAAACCAATTCTTTTTTAAGCTGAGGCACTGGATTTGATTGATCAAGATGAAGAAGAATTTAATAAAGAGCATCAATTTATGCAGGTTTGTATTTTACTGGCATTAACCGAAGTTTAAAATTTACCTGTATTCTTTCTGGATAGATATAGTTTGTATGGAATATATCTTGTTTTCTTATGTTTATATCATTTCTGCTTTTTCTTTCATATTCTCTATTATTAATTGAAAAATAGCTGGCATACTAAAGTAATATTTAATTCACCTAGAATCACCTAAATAGGCTATAAAGTTTTTCCATAGTTTTTAACCATGTTTTAAAATGAAGTAATGCTATTTAAACAAATAGAACATGTTCATTGCCTTATTAATAGCTGCTTAAGCTTGAATTCGTCCTAATTTTTTAAGACTTAAAATGTTTAAATTTTCTTAGTTAAATTTTCTTATTTTCGCATGTTAGAAAAACAGAAAGAAGCCTTTCTAGGGAAATAAAATGAAACAATAACTTTCTCCCTAGGAAGAAAATATAGATGCCCGGAACACTTCAGCTGCACTAGGTGATACGTCTTGGGGAACTTCAATTAATTACAGTTTGTTGAGGAAATCACTTAGCACATCAGATTTGGACAAAGATGATGCCAGTTATTTACGCCTATCATTAGGAGAGTTCTTCGCTCAAAGATCTGAAGCTCTTGGCTCCCTTGGTGGTGGTTACAATGTGAAAAGAGTAAGTATGATATGTGCTAGAAGTGGTTGAATTCACAAGCCCTTACATTTTGAATGTTCTGATGGTATTACCTACAGCATAGTATCTTTACAGCAGGGACAGAATAGGGAACAGGATAGAGTTGTGGTAGTCAGACTGAGACTCCAGTCCTACTTCTATCTTTCAACTAATTCTGTGACAGGGATTAAGTTAACTCATCTGTGCCTTGATTTTCCAATTTTTATTTATTTTTTAAAGATTTTATTTATATATGTGACAGAGCACACACAAGCAGGGGGAGTGGCAGGGAGAGGGAGAAGTAGGCTTCCCACAGAGCAGGGAACTGAATGCAGGGCTCCACCACAGAACCCTGAGATAATGACCCAAGCTGAAGGCAGATGCTTAACCGACTGAGCCACCCAGGCATCCCAATTTTCCAGTTTTTACAATGGAGTGCTATATAGGGTTTTATAAAAATTAAATGTGATGGGACATATAAAGTATTTAGCACCATGACTAACTTGCAGTAAATATTCAATACCTGTTAGTTGATATTGCTATTGTTACATCATTGGTTGATGGAAAGAAAACGATTTTTTTTAACCTCTTTTCTGAAAACATGTTTTGAAATACAAGAAAGGTTTGGTTTGAAATATAGGAAAGTTGTAATACATGTAAACATTTGAAAATTCAAGCAATGCATTTCAATGTGGTAAGTTCAAGCAATGTGGTAAGTTCTATGAAGAATGGCAAGAAGGAATTGTTTTAGTTGCAGTGATCAGGGCGACCTCTGAGGAGATGGCATTGAACTGAGACCTACATTATGGGAAGGAGGAAGCTGCCAAAAGATCTGGAGACAGGATGTTCTCAGGAAAGGGAGACTATGTATGGGAGGCTTGGAGGTAAAACCGGAGTGGCATATGGAGGACAGAAAGCAGGCTGGGGGCGCTAATGTAAATGGGGGGAAGGATGGTTCATTCAATGGTAGAAGAAATCCAGGGCCAGATCACGAGGGGTCCTTGTAGGATGGGTTCATCTGAAATTAATTGGAAAGAGGGGCATGGAGGCAGGGAGCAACTTTGTCGTGGTGCCAACCCCATCTCCATGTGTAACATGATACTACTGTATTTGGAGCCTGGGTAGAGAGGGGCAGTGAACCAAAAGAATAGCAGCAGATAGAGGCTTAGTGCATCGGAAGAGTTGTAGTAAAGGCCGAGGTCTAAGAATGATTGTACAGATCCAGAAAAAAATCAAGGATTCAAGACTGCTTTTGGATATAGAGTCATAGGGAGTTGGGTTATTGGAGGGAGACATATTAAACTGCATTTCACTAAACTATAGTTTGAAATAATAGCCATGGTATTAGCAAAGTCGATTTACAGAACTTAAATTTGAGACTGAACTGATTTTGATACCTTCAGTTTCTTTGTCCTGATTGCACCTCAGAGTAGTGTTGAAGAGAAATGATGTTGGGGCTCCGACAAATCATATCCCTATACATTCCTATTTGTGCAGTGCATTAATTAAAAAAATGAAAAGAAGTGCTTCAGAGAGACTGATTTTCCATCTAGATTGATTGAGATTTTTGACATTATGAGACAAGTTGAAGAGTAAATGAATTTCTTACAAAATTCAAAACAAAGCACAAAACAAAGCACTGGCTCATGGAAAAATAGATCTGTCATTTAGAATTTCTGTTTTGGTTTTAGTTTATAAGATGTTATTTGCATTCAAGTTGCTTGTTCAAGGGAAGAAATTTCCACATGAAGATAGCCAAAAATCAAGTGCATTTAATGAATTTACATTTCAGGTCTATCAGGTGAAAGTTGTGTGAGAAAGACAAGTGGGAATTCCCTGCTCCTTAACACTTTCATCCAAGTGCTAGGAAGATACCTAATCTTAATACAGATTTTTGAGGATATAGTATATAAAAGTAGTATATAAAATAAATACCCTTATGCTATAAGTTTGTTTTGGGTTTTTTTTGTTGTTGTTTTTTGTTTGTTTTTTATGCTGTAAGTTTGAAGAAGGCAGGACATTTTCTTTTTTTTCTCATTAATATGTCACACTGATGATTAACAGTTCTGGACATAGTAGGTCCTCAGTAATTACTGAAGAAATGTCATTTCTGGGCTATTTGAATTTGGATTTCTTAGTAAGAGCAGCTTATTTGACAGTATTAGTTTTGATGATTAAAGACAGCAGTAAGGAAATAAAACTAGACTTTTAAAGTACATCTCTAGTTACTTGAGTTTAAATAAAAAGAAAATTATTTGTTGAAGTAATTTAGCTACGTTACCCATAGTAAGATAAAATAGAATTCCTCAGGGACGCTTGGGTTGCTCAGCGGTGATCCTGGAGTCCTGGGATCGAGTCCCACATCGGGTTCCCTATATGGAGCCTGCTTATCCCTCTGCCTGTGTCTCTCCCTCTCTCTCTGTCTCTCATGAATAAGTAAATTTTTTTTTAAAGATTTATTTATTTATTCATTCAGAGAGAGCGAAGAGAGAGGCAGACACACAGGCAGAGGGAGAAGCAGGCTCCATGCAGGAAGCCCGATGTGGGACTCGATCCCGGGTCTCCAGGATCACACCCTGGGCTGCAGGCGGCGCTGAACCGCTGCGCCACCGGGGCTGCCCTAAATTTTTAAAAAATAGAATTTCTTGAGAACAGTTGAAAATTAAGGAAATAATTCACGTGTTTATTTTGTAGCCATCGTTTGGTTATTTTATTAGATCACCAGAGAAGAGAGAACCTGTTGCTCTAATAAGAAAATCTGATGTATCCAGAAGTAATTTGGAAAAAGAAATGACTCTTGTTAACCATGATATATTTTCAGGTAATGGATTAAATGAAGGAATTTTTGTAACTTTTTTTTAACCTATAAGTTAGTGGTTATGTGGTCATGTTCTTATGAGTGAAAATGTATATATTGTTTTGAATTTTTTCATTATTAGTTAGAAATTTTATTTTTATATAACCCACATTACCTTTTTAGCTGGGAACAAGTCAGCCAAAATCCACTTAAATCCTTTTGTAAAAAGCCAAACCAAACAAAATATAATTTGTTCAAATGGGCTAGTTAATTTTGGTCTATTAAACTACTGAGACAGTGAACTCTAGCTGTTATTTTTTTTTTTAAAGATTTTATTTATTTATTCATGAGTATACACAGAGAGGAGAGAGAGAGAGAGAGGCAGAGACACAGGCAGAGGGAGAAGCAGGCTCCACGCAGGGAGCCTGACGTGGGACTCGATCCAGGGTCTCCAGGATCACACCCCGGGCTGCAGACAGCACTAAACCGCTGAGCCACTGGGGCTGCCCCCTCTAGCTGTTATATTTAGGTAGCCTTTGGTTAAAAAAGTATTCTGAGATTTGGACTATGATAGTCTATGATAAATATCTATGATCTTTTTAAAAAAAAAAAAGATTTATTTCTTTGTCTTAGTGGAGTGGGAAGGAGAGAAGGGGAGAGAGAATCTCCTGCAGACTGCTGAGTGTGGAGCACAGTGCAGGGCTTGATCTCATAACCCTGAGATCATGAGCTGAGCTGAAATCAAGAGTCAGATGCTTAATTGAGCCACCCAGGCACCCTTCCATGATAAATATTTAAAATCAGACTTTTTTGATAATAACATTTAATTATTGAACAATCGCTTTTTTGCTAGTACAATGCTTGGTGCTATGTATCTTATAGAATTGTACAAGATATGCTCCAGTCCTTACAGAGCCTATATCTAGTGGAGGAGTTGGTTGGGATAAAGAGGCTATATAGGTAATTAGTTGATGTTCTACGATTGTAAAGAAGTACTCATTTTTATTTATTTATATTTAAAGCATGTGTGCACATGCACAAGCAGTGGGGAGGAACAGAGACAGAAAGAGAGAATCTCAAATAGGGTCCACACTCAGTGGGGAACCTGACACGGGGCTTGATCTCACAACCCTGAGATCATGCATGACCTGAGCTAAAAACAAGAATCAGACACTCAGCTGAGCCACCCAAGTGTCCCCAGAAGTTCTCATTTTTAAATTCAGCTTACTGTATATTTGTGAAAATTTAAAGCTGAAAGTATTAAGTGAATTTGTCAGTATTTGCAAGGGAAGATTAAAACCAACGATCTTCTTCAAAGTTTAAACTTGGCAAAATCAAATTAATAGTGCTCTGATCCAGGAACGTCTGGGTGGCTCAGCGGTTGAGCGTCTGTCTTTGGCCCAGGGTATGGTCCTAGAGTCCTTTGTCCTAGTGACAAAGGATATTTAAAGTATATTTAAATAGTTTTTGTGAAGATGACTGATACGGAGGTCCAAAGACTCTTCCCTGGCAATTTATCATGTTGAGTGGTCCTTATCCCGTAGATTGTTTCTCTGAGGAAATGTATATGTATATATTAAAGTTGAGTTATTGTATATTTTCTACAGGAGACTTAAAAACACAGCCAAACGAAGGATCAGTTACACTTCAGGCTGAAGAACTGGAGAGCATTTCACAAATGAATGAAAGTGATAAGACATTAACTGTCAATAACAGCAAAACAGAGGTATCTTGAGCTTTCCATAGAGAAACTAAAACTGCATTGTCATTCTTGTTTAAGATCAACATAAGGTCAGGTGAAAAACATATGCAGTATAACATTGGTTTGGATTTTTTGGATTCAAAATTTATTATAAATGTCCTTCAAATTTTCAGAAACATATGAATCAATGTATAAATACACATGCTAAGTACATACCTATATAGAAAGCATAAGCATACATACATTTGTTTATAAAAAAACTTATAATCAGTTATCACAGCTTACTCATGTATACCCCCAGGTCAAGAAAGAAAATATCACTAGTTTTCTGGAAACCATTATTTTGCCCCTTCGGAACACTACTCCTCCTATCTAATCTCTAACACTTAGTTTTCCTTGTTTTGGAACTTCATGAGAAATCAAATACCATGTATTCTTTTTCTTTAATTTTTTTTTCACTTTTGTTTACTAAATGCAATTATGTTGTTAGGTATAAAAGAAGCAGAGACATCTGGGTGGCTCAGTGGTTGAGCATCTGCCTTTGGCTTAGGTCGTGATCCCAGGGTCCTGGGATTGAGTCCCACATTGGACTCTCTGTAGGGAGCCTGTTTCTCCCTCTATGTCCCTGCCTCTCTCATGAATCTCATGAATAAATAAAATATTTTTAAAAAGCATAAAAGAAGCATATTTTCATTATTGTATATAGTATTCTATTGTATGAATACCCTGCATTTGCTGTGCACATTAGATCTGTCTGTTGGACATTTGGAGTCTATCTTACGTCAATATGACACTGTTAAAATACTGTGGCTTTATATGTCTTGATACCTTATTTTTCTTGTAAAGTATCTTGGCTATTCTCAGGCCTTTGCATTTCCATATATATTTTTATTTGTTTTTGTTTTAAAGATTTTATTTATTTATTCATAGAGACAGAGAGAGAGGCAAAGACACAGGCAGAGGAAGAAGCAGGCTCCATGCAGGGAGCACAATGTGGGACTCGATCCCAGGTCTCCAGGATCACGCCCCAGGCTGCAGGCAGCACCAAACCACTGCACCACTGGGGCTGCCCATATATATTTTTAAAATCAAATTGCTGCCTTCAGCAAACCAGCCAACCAGTTAGCACGGTTAGGCTTTTAACTGGGTTCCACTGAACTTGTAGAACCGTCAAAATGACATCTTTATAGTACTGAATCTTATAATTCATGAAAATTATATATCCTTTCACTTAGGTTTTAAATTTTGTCTATATATTATGATTTTTCTGTGTGTGTGTGCAGGGATTATTGCACATCTTTTGTTAGATTTCTTCCTAACTTGTTGAAACAATGTTTGTTTGTTTTTAAGATTTTTATTTATTTGAGAGAGCATGAGCAGGGGGAAGGGCAAAGAGAGAGAGAGAAGCAGACTCCCCTCTGAGCATGGAGACCAGTGTAGGGCTGGAGCCCAATGCAGGGCTCAATCCCAGGACCCTGAGATCATGACTTGAGCTGAAGGCAAACACTTAATGACCAAGCCACCCAGGTGCCCTGAAACAATGTTTTAATACCTTTCTTAGCTTCACTCTTATTTTCTGTGGCTAAACAGAAATACATGTTTTTAAAAAATACTCAACTTGTATCTAACAGCTATGCTAAATTTACCAATAACTAATATCTGTAGATTCTTTGGAATTTTCTATATATACAGTTTTATCATTTGAGAATAACAATACTTTTGTTCCTTTCTGATTTTAATACCTTCAGTTTCTTTAACTGGCCTTACCTGACTGCCTCAGAGCAGTATTGAAGAGAAGTGATGATGCTGGGGCTCCCTGACAGGGTGGGAAAGCTCTTCAGTATTTTATTTTTAAATTGGTTGTGTGCTACTGTGTGGTCATCTCCTCTTCGACAAAGCAGGAAAGACTATCCAATGGAAAAAAGACAGTCTCTTCAACAAATTATGTTGAGAAAACTGGGCAGCAACATGCAAAAGAATGAAACTGGACCACTTCTTACACCATACACAAAAATAAATTCAAGAAGGATGAAAGACCTACATGTGTGAGACAAGAATCCATCAAAATCCTGGAAGAGAACACAGGCAGCAACATCTCTGACCCCGACCATAGTAACTTCTTGTTAGACACATCAGCGGAGGCAAGGGAAACAATAGCAAAAAATGAACTTTTGGGACTTCAGATAAAAAGTTTCTGGACAGTGAAGGAAACAATCCACAAAACTAAAAGACCACCTACTGAATGGGAGAGAGATTTGCAAACGATGTCTCTGATAAAGGGCTAGTATCCAAAATAAAGAACTTAATAACAACACTGAAAAAAAAAAAAAAAACCCCAGTTAAGAAATGGGCAGAAGACATGAATAGACATTTCTCCAAAGAAGATATCCAGATGACTAAGAGACACATGAAAAGATGTTCAATAACACTCATACAACCAAATCAAAACATCACAAACCAAGATCACAATGAGATACCACCTCTCACCTGTCAGAATGGCTAAAAATAACACAGAAAGCAACAGATGTTGATGAGGATGTGGAGAAAGGAGAACCCTCTTACACTGTTGGTGGGAATGCAGGCTGCTGCAGCCACTCTAGAAAACAGTATGGAGATTCCTCAGAGTTAAAAATAGAACTACCCTACAACCTCATAATTGCACTACGAGGTATTTACCCAAAAGATTAAAAATACAGATTCGAAGGGATACATGCACCCTGATGTTTATAGCAGCATTATCAACAGTAGCCAAACAACTATGGAAAGAGCCCAAGGGTCCACTGACTGATGAATGGATAAAGATGTGGCATATATACACAGTAGAATGTTACTCAACCATCACAAAGACTAAAATCTTGCCATTTCAATGATGTAAATGGAGCCTAGAGTATATTATACTAAGCAAATTATGGTAGAGAAAGACAAATACCATGTGATTTCACTGATGTAGAATTTCAGAAACAAAACAGATGAACATAGGGAAAGAAAAGAGAGAACACAAGAGCCTCTTAACTATAGAGAACAAACAGTTGCTGGAGGGGACTTGAGTAGGGGGATGGGCTAAATGGGTGATGGGCATTAACGGAGGGCACTTGTTAGGATGAACACTGGGTATTATATGTAAGTGGTGAATCATTACATTCTACTCCTGAAACCAGTGTTGCACTATATTAACTAACTACAATTTTAAAATTTGGAGGAAAAACATAAATTGGATGTGTGCTGTAGGTTTTTATTTATCATCAATTTTTAAAATTCCATTCTGATATTTGTCTTCTAGTTTGTTTTTAACTTGTAAGGACGTTGAATCCTGTCAAATGCTTTTTTGCATCTGTCAAGGTAAACATAAGCTTTCTTTTTTTCTGGTAATGTGGTAAATCATAAATAGTTTTTGACTATTATACTGTTCTATAGTTGGAATAAACCTATCCTTTTTACAGATCATTGGATTTGCTTTGCTTATGGTCTTTTTAGAAGTATGCATCTGTGTGAGTGAGAGGAACATCTTTTTGGTTTTGGGATCAAGGTTTTGATGGTCTCGTTTTTGTCTATTTTTCTGAAAGAGTGTGTGTAAAAATAGTGCTGTTTTATTTAAGATGGGTGCTGTTAGATTTGGGTAGAATACATTGATGAAATCTTCTGAATCTGGAGTTTTCTTTAATACTTTTTAATTGCTGAATCTATGTCTTTTAAGATTTTATTTGTGGGGGAGAGAGAGAGCATGTGAGCACAGCAGGGTGAAGGGTAAAAGGGAAAGGAACAAGCAGACTCCCCACTGAGCAGGGAACCTAACTTAGGGCTCAATCCCAGGATCCCAAGATCATGACCTGAGCTGAAGTCAGATGCTTCACCAGCTGAGCCACTCAAGTACCCTTCAATTTCTTTAATAGTTATAGGACTATTCTGATGTTGGAAACTTGTGTCAGTTTTAGTAAATTGTGGTTTCCTAGGAATTACATCTTTTATCTAAACTTGAAAATATATCACTCCATATAAATTGATAAATATTGAACATAATATCCTCTTGTGACTGATTAATATTTTAGGTTTTTTTTTTAACCTTTTATTTATTCATGAGAGACACAGAGAGAGAGGCAGAGACTCAGGCAGAGGGAGAAGCATGTTCCCTGCAGGCAGCCTGATGGCGGGACTTGATCCCAGGACCCCAGGATCACGACCTAAACCAAAGGCAGACATTCAACCACTGAGTCACCCAGGTGTCCCTAATTTAATTTTAAGTTCTTTTTTTTTTTTTTAATTTTAAGTTCTTAAGGGACATCTTTTTTTTTAATTTTATTTATTTATTTATTTATTTATTTATTTATTTATTTATTTATTTATTTATTTATTTATTTATGATAGTTACACACACACAGAGAGAGAGAGAGAGGCAGAGACATAGGCAGAGGGAGAAGCAGGCTCCATGCACCGGGAGCCCGATGTGGGATTCGATCCTGGGTCTCCAGGATCGCGCCCTGGGCCAAAGGCAGGCGCCAAACCGCTGCGCCACCCAGGGATCCCTTAAGGGACATCTTTACTGTTATGTATTAGCTTTTTTCCCCTCCCTTTTTTCTAAGTCATTCTTTCCAGGTATTTCTCAATTTTATTAGTTCATTAATTTTATTTATTCTCTGTTTTCTATTCATATCTTTTGGTGCTTATTTCCTTCCATATATTTTCTGTGGATTTAATTTGTAGCTTTTCTAACTTATGGAGATAACTGTTCAGCTTAACTTTTCTGCCTTTCTGCTTTTCTTATATAAACATCTGATGGTACAAATCTCCCTTAAAGGAAGGATTTTTTTGTGTCCCATACAATTTTTTACATCATATGTGTCTAGATATGTCATACTATCTTTATTCCATTTAATGTATTTCCCAATATCTCTAGTCTATTGTGTATAACAGGTGTATTGCATAGTTTCCAAACATTTGGGGATTTTCCAAAATTTTAAATACTGATTCTAGGCCTGTTGTACTGCAGTCAGAGAAACCTTGGTTTTAGTCCTTTGAAATTTTTTGAA